AGCAGGATAATTATAGAGCTGGGTGACAAAACACAATTTGGCTTTTCTGGAAATAATTGCAGGATAAATTTCCAGATGTGACTATCTTGGTCAGTTTTAGAAAAATTTGCAGTGTCACAGACCGCACAGGTCTTAACAGCGTGTTAAAACCTGGAGCACGTCCGTACCTTCATAAAGCTCCGGACGTGCTCCTCTTCCTTGAGGAAGTCCTTGTAGAGCCTGCTCCAGTGGGACACAAGATGCAACACTTTGCGTTTCCTGAACAGAGCGTCCTTTCCCTCCTCCTGGCCCCGGCAGCGAGCACTGCTATAGGTGAGAGCGGTTAAGGAGCCAAATATCATAATAACTTTGCAGCAGTAAAGTCAGGTAACTTAAGACTAGGTCTGGTCACGGTCTGTTTTTGCCAGTAAGGATATTGTCCTAACAGAGCCTGACAGAGGTCACTGGTGGTCATGAAGACCAGGTAGGTCAACAGGAAGTCATCCAGCAGCATTTCTGTAAGAACAACAATCCACACGTTAGTCATTTCACACAAAAAAAGCCTTAGGTATTAACGAAGGAAGGAAATTAACCTCATCAAGTGTGTTATGCATTAATTAAAAAGCATAATAAATTGAATGTTTTTTTAATGTAAAAATGAACCAAAAACAACCCTAACCCTAAGCCTTCTTTCATCTCTGTTTCAGTTCTGCTGGATTCTCCTAAACCTACAGTCAGTGTTTGACAGTATAATTCCCTTCAGCGCTGCAGGCAGTGGACAATTTAGCTCGTGTCAACACTACACGCTCAACACCAGGCAGCACAATCACATTCAGAGTGCCAGGCTAGCTTGTGAGCTGAATGCTAATGTACTGAGCGTAAAATGGAAAGTGTACGCTGAAAGGCAGCCAACAACGAGAGGGTCGGTGTCTTAGAAACATTTTTGGTTTTCAGCCGCTGGTGTTTAAGACTATTTAAATTAAACTCATATTCATATTGCTTACCACGTGTGAATATATGTTAAATTCTCTAAATATTTGGTTATAGAAGTTGTTTTTTTCTCTTCTTACATCAGTGAGATTCAGATTGTGCTCTCAAGTGTGTGAAAACCAGAGGTAAAGAGACAGAAAGAGTGAGTCAGCAGTAGTTCAATGGATCAGTGGTTTTGAGACGAATATTAACAGCCCTGGTGACAGATGAGTAATGAGCCATTGTCCCAGGAGTGAGGGAGCTGGCGTGTGTGTGTGTGCTCACGTGTGTGTGTGTGTGATGTGGAACTAGCTCTCTGGGAGTGTGTGACCCAAATCAGGCTCTGTGATGCACTGATCACAGAAATCAATTCAGGAAGATTAGGCAGAGAAACGTACGGACCAGAATTAGTGACAGGATTGTGGGAGCCTCTCACTGAGGCTGTCATTTTCCCATCTGGAATAATACCATGTCCTGTTTTCATCTTCCTCATCCTCACCCCCCCATACTCCCCCTCCCGCTGCTATCTCATTCCCACTGAACTCTCCCTTTCAGCTTTCTGCGATGATAACTATCCATTTTCCTCCTCAGCATACGTCCTCTACATCTGCTTGGACGTGCACTCATAAACAGTACGACACACACGTGAACAGCAGCACAGCAGCGCCCCGATGAATCGCTCATTCAGTTCTGACCTTGGGGAGTTTATCTCCTACAGGAGAGGAGAAGAAGAGAGGGGGTCGACACAGCAGCGATCATCTGCTGCTGCGTTGAAGTTGCTGCTGTTGTTGTTGAAGTTGCTGCTGCTGTGCATGTGTGTGTGTGTGTGTGTGTGTACACAGCGAAGGGTCGTTGGTAGTTGTTCGCTTAACTCTCCACAGCAGCGTGTCGGAGCCTGTTCAGGATGCTGCACAGCTGAGCCTACTGAAAGCACACACTGAAGCTCAGGATCAGCTCAGAGCGCTCCCGTCTACGCTGAGGAAACGGATCAGAAACGTGGACTTGTAGCTAAATGATTTCAGTTTTTATTTGGTGCTGGTGGGGGGGGGGTCTAAAGGGCTCAGCACCTTGGGGTGGGGTCTTCTGTCTGCCTGCCAGCGCGTGTGGACGGCCCCCAAAGGTGGCTCTCTCCTTACCTTAGATCTTGGTGCTCAGCCATGTTTTTCTGAACTTGCATGAATGTGTATCTGCATGTTTCTATGTCTCTGTGTGTTTGTGGGGGTGGGAGGGCTGGGTTTTGTTCCCTATTGTTTTTAGCCTCTGTGAGGCCCTTTTGCCAGCTCAGCAATAAAATTAAATTTGATTTGATTCGATTGGACGAACCGTCTCACACACCTTTGCTTCTCTGCTCCAGCCTTTTCCTTCTTAAACAAAAAACAACACACGGCTCAAAGAGTCTTTCTGTTGGAGGAATTACACCACAATGCCCATCTCAGTTCTCCGTCACTCCCTCCCTCACACACTCATCTCTCCTGCTCTCTTACTTTGCTTCCTGCAATTCAGTGAGATGGCTCCCAGTGGACCGCTGGGAACGGGTTGAGCCGAGAAGTCAGAAAATAAAGACGCTTTATCCCGAAACGGTCTAAATGGACGGCAGCGGTAAAGAGTGTGTTGTTTGTTTTGTTGTTTTACTTTCACTTTGTCCAAGGAAATCAATCTGTGAAATAAGAGAAGACGCCATCACTCACACAGCCGGGTGAACACAGACATGAACCTGGTGTTGCACAAGAGCCGACAAACAAACAAACAAACACACAAACACACACACCGCCAAGAGACAGGGAAAGGCTCAGACTGGGCCGTGTTGTAACACGAAAATCTAGGAAGAGGAGAAAGGTGTGGGACTTTCTTTTTAAAAATACCTGAGGTCAAAACTGTTTTGGGTACAGGACCAACTGGTTCTTTTTTTTTGCCAGTCAACAGACACACTGCCAGCAGCGTCTGACGTGTGTTACTGAACTGTGTTCCAACTTTGAAGTCTGGTCTCCAAACTCACCGCTCTCCCTGCTCTCTGGCACGCCCCGGTGGTCGTCCAAGCGCAGGTCGCTCAGGAGGTGCTCCAGGATTTTGAGTGGCGTTCCAGACACCACCACATACCTGTAGGACGAAGAGTCACAACAACCTTCGTCAGCAGAGCCAGAAAACCAAGTACAACTTCTTTCATCCCTCCATCCTCCCTCCCTCTTCTCCTCCTTTTTCTCCTCTACACCGTCATCATCGATGAAGCGGAAATAGGGAACATCAAAGGCACAAATCTCTGCATCTCCGGCGGTGTCGTTGTCGTTGTCCTTGTCCTCGTCATCTCCATCGTCTACGTCCTCCTCTGCTACTGCGAGTGTGGCTAACGCAGTGGTCATCCTCACATCCAGAGACTTCTTCACGATCGGCCCTCATGCCAGTTCAGTCAGCTGAGACCTCAGTTCTCTGAGACTCTTCCTACAGCAGCACGCTCAAAGAAATGATTGCTACTGAGACGAGCTTTGTAGGTACACACACACACACACACACACACACACACACAAGTACACAACCTGTCTGTCAGCGACACTCCCTGCATTATGCCTGAGGCTTTGGCACATACCAACTTAAATACACACATAAAACAGGCAGGGCACAAAGAAATTATCATTCAGTAAATCCACACACACACACACACACACACACAGTTGTGAAAGGAAGTAGACACATCTTGGTGTCAATCTTTGTTTCCTGAGCTGAAAACAAAAGGCCACTCTCTTTGCCAGAAGCTAAGCACACATTATCTGTGGCACGCACACACACAAACGCTCTCTCTCTCTCTCACACACACACACACACAACTTAAACGGCAGCAGTGCTGATATTGTGTGTGATTGCAACCTGAGAGCACAAAGTCAAAGCTGGAAACAGAGAGGGAGGAGCGCCATGATTATGCCTTTGGTGCCACTGTTGGTCTGGAGAACTCTCAGTACAAAGGAGGAGGGACTGACCTCTTGTCGCAATCCTCCTCTCTGGACCCGCCCCCCAATGATGTAGGTGAGGGCCGTTCGGACGGCGACGTCACTGCCGTTGTCACTCTTTGCAGCACCAACACGTCCCGACCTCTCTCCTTCAGACAAACTCTGCCCACTGACTCCTGAGACGAACAGAGGGAAAAGTCGGAGGTAAACCAAATGATCGCTCTGCGATGCTAGGATCAAAGGCTAATTAAACTGAAATGTTGACACCTTGAAGGGAGAATCACTCGAAATAGTATTTTTCTGCAAAACTCCAGTTATCATTAGGTCTCCTTTTTTATTAATTTAATAATTTTATTGAGAATATTTAACTTATTTTTAAAGCTAATTCTTGCTCCACTGTCAAAGCAAACTGAATAACAACCAAAAGTGTAACTTTGAGCTGCAGACCTAGACCCAGCCAATCGATCCACACATGGAGTCAGAGACAAACAGGAAGTACAACCCTTTCTGCCTTTAAAGGAAACCATTGTGTGGTAAATAAGAATGGAGACAACAAAGAATATGGGCTGACGAGGGAAAACGACCCGCTCCAAAAAATTAACAGCAACTCGATCTGTGGCTCCAACATTCAGACAGGAGTTCAGAGGCCCTCATTCACACACACACACACACACACACCTGCAGTGACAGTGTAACATGAACACAGCTCCAGATGGACAGAGAAGCACAAAAGAAAAAACAGCCTCAGGAAATAAAGGCAGAGGGGAAAGAGGAGGGCAGATCAAAGGCACGAGGAGCAGAGCGGAGCGGAGCAGGAGGAGAGATGAAGAGGCGGCGTCTCTCCTCTGGATTCCAGCTGTTTGCTGCAGTGCCTGTCTCAGCCGGAGAGATTAAACAGCAATCAGACGTGACACAGAGACCTCTGTGTGCAGAGTCACATCATTTAATCCTTTGAACCATAATGGTTGCTTTTTTTTTGTGGTAGTAACATAACACAACAGCAGAGGCAGTATATATCCACACCAGTAAACAACACAATAACTGATCACCACATCAGAAAATGTGTCTTCTGTAAAATCAACACATCTTTATTGTAGAATAAAGTGTAATGTTTAGTTGAAAACACCACTGATAAACTGGCAGTAATTGAAGAAATACACTCACAATGATCTTCTTCAACAGCTCTGATTATCTTTTTTATCTGCTGCCACATAGCAGAAGAGGATCTAATTGTTCCATCTTTCATGTTTTGACGAGCAAAAATTGTTTGCAATAATTAAATAATAGTGTCGGACCAAAATAGCAAAATAACAGGAACCTTCAATAAATAAAAGATATATAAAACATATAGTAAAGCAGTGGTATAGTAAAGCCACAGCATAATATGTCACCATACTGGAAACATGGAATCAAGAGAGAGGTGGAGAGTAGAGGGCAAGGAGGGAAGGGTGGAGAGTAGGGAAGTTGAATTGAAGGAAGGGTTGGAGAGAAATGGAGAGAAATGGAAGGAAAGAGAGCGGCGTACTTGTTAACTGAGAACATGTGACCACTTCACTACACACTTCTTAGTTTTTGTTTTTCATTTTTGTTGACATATAAGGATTGCTTGTGGTTTTTTTCGAAGGTTCGAGCTGAAACACAAAACTAGTGGATGAGCCATTATTGGAATTTAGTTTTTTTCACAATCCACTGTTGTTATTGAGTCTTATCCAAAAAATGTCACTAATGTTTCCAGTGACATAAGACACTCATATTAAACTGTATGTCCGGGCTTGGACTGATGCTTTTTGGAATGATTTTTTCCGACATGTTTCCCACACTCCTCCCATGTCTCTCACTTCCCATTCCTTTCACGTGGCTTTGTTTCTGTTTTTCTTTTTTCTTCTTGCATAACACTGCCCTCTTCACTCTCAAGTTCTAAAATTAAACAAAAAAATAGTTTATGTTTTCCTTGGACTGGCCTGCATTCTTTCTCAGGACAAAGTGCTATTCCCAACTATGTTATTCTTGGAAAATACTGCGTAATACAAACTTTTAAATGTACTGCAGAGCCACGTACAGTTCAAGCTTATTTTCCTTTTTCTGCTCTCTCCTCTCCTCCACTCCTTTTATCTTGAATGCTTCCAAACCCACTAATGTTTTCCTTCCTCTGATCTCGGCTCAGTTGTTTGTGTGTTTTTTTGGCCTCTAATAAAAATAACTTATCATGAAGATCAACATTTGTCTCCACCTTTGTTTGTAGAGTGGTTACATATGTGTTACATAATGTGTCTTTTTTTGGGAGGGGGGGCAATTTTCCATTATTAGTTATCAGTGAGAGAGACGGAGACAGGAAAACTCCCCAGAATTCTGATGAAAGATTGCGGTTGATATTTGAACTCCCAGTGATGTGGGATTTAACGACATGTCCCACACTTGTTATCTCTGCATCCCATCTGGGCCACTGGGTGTGGCTCGGTTGCCAGCTCTGAGTAAATTTTAAGGCTTTCAGTGCCACATCTCTTAACATCAGCTGTCGCTGCCTGGTTTATCAGCCTGGCTGATCTTGAACAACATTCATTTCAGCCTGTTACATAACCAACCTCAGAGATAAGAACACATTGTTTTCTGGCAGTTGGATAATTTACACCGTGTCGTTTTATCTGAATGTAGGAGCTAATGATGGTGAATCATACCACTGCCACCTTTGTTTGTTTTTTTACTGGTTAAAATTGATTACCAAAATCTAAGCTCTAATTTTAACTTCCATTCTAGCTATAATAATAATAATAATAAAAACACACAAAATAACAACTTCTTGCACGCAGCATCTCCACCCAACAGAATTGCCGCAATAAGAAGTTAGAAACTTGCATTGGTTACATTTTATTCCACATGGCTGTAGTGAGCTACCAGTGTTTTTAAACATTATGGTTAGAGGGCTCCAAAAACCAGCTGCACAAGAGGCTGAGAAGGAAGTTCTTTTTTCACTCCCTCTTCCTGAACGTGTGTGTTGTTGCCCGTCCTGATTGTGACTGAACCATATCAGTGTTGTGTTAGTGCTGGGCCCGATTCCTGGAAACACCGTGTAACAATATGAAAAACACATTGCTTTCATCTCAGCGAAACAAAAAGCCACACACTTCCAGGTTAGCAGATGGAAAGTAACAAAGGCGACTCGCAGATCTTGTGTGTGTGTGTGTGTGTGTGTGTGTCGTCATCGCTGTAAATGCAGTGACCTAGTGTGACCTTGGAGCAGATGAAAGTACATGTGCCAGTGTAAGGTAACTGGACGCCAGACATGCAAAAAACAGGATTTCCATCCCTGTGCAGTTTGCACAGGGAGCAGCGTGGAGCTTGGTGCTACACAACAGGTTCAAACTTAACTATTAAATAATAACATTATATTTTTAGCTAAAGATTTAAAGATATTGTTCATTAATTATATTCGTCTGTTACAAGCAGACATTTGTTACCATTAATTATCGCTCCACTTACATGTTGTTTGGTAGTTCACAGTGTAATATCCTCCAGGATTGGTGGTCACATGCACATGATTAAACTGTAGCTTTCATTAACCCATGAATGTTTGATGTTCGATGCCGAGTGAAAATCAAACTTGGTTTGCTTCACTTCCTGCCCTCAGGTGTCCTGCGCTGCACAATTACGCAGTGTAATGCTTCACTAACACCCTGCTCATTACATGTGCACACTGACTCAGGCTGCCGCGGCACCAATCCAGCAAAAACACACACACACACCAGCAGCCACACGTTATTATAAGCTCAGCAGACCTGGTGTACACTGATACACACGGTGGGTCGGGCAGAGTGGGAGATCACAGTTCACTAAGCCATTACCCACAGCCATATCAGACTAATAAGAACACTGGTGGCTGTTGATCTGATGTGATGTAAACGAAGCGTTCAGTGCCTCTGCAGTGATAACTGGTGTGTGTGTGTGTGTATGTTTTAACCATGCTGTAAATGTGAATACACACCTGTCCGTTACTGAAACTGACAGCAACACAAATGTGCACGATGCGCAGGAGGATTCACTCACAGGATCCAAAAGCTGCGTTTGTGAGTGAAGGCAGAGCTGAAGTGAGTGGGAGCTTAACGGCGATGACAGTAATGACCACGATTACCAGGCCATGACGTCCACGACTTTCTTCTCACAATAACTGTGCAGCCGCAGCTGGCTGTGAAAATTACATGGTCTTTGGGCAACAAGTTATTAGTGCTACGCTACATGTTACGCTGGAACAGAGGGGAGACGGGAACGCAAGGATTCCAAACTATTGGAATACGTACATTGGCCAGTCAATGTTATTGGTCCGATATTAAAATAATTATCTGTAAGAATGGTCAAAACTAGAAAACGCAATGCCTGGGTTTTCTCCCGATGAAAAAACTTCTGTTTGCTGGGGAGGCACGGCAGAAAATAATTGAGAAACACTATGTTACCCCATCACCTTAGTGGGCAGACGGCACTTCACCGTCTTGACCACCAGGCCCTGCTATATCGGTATTGGCTGATATCATCTCAGACATCCCTTTGGTTTTTTGTTGTTTGCGAATACATGTTTGTGAAGTGAAATCAAAACATGTTATGGCATATACTTTTAGTTGCTGTAGTCTGCCTAGTGATTCAGGTTCCCCTTCCTGACGTTACACAACCTGGGATCAAATAGTAACAGATTAAGTAAAAGAGTAAAAAGCATCAAGGTCTGAACTTTGACAGAACAAAGTTACCAAAGCAGGACAGCAGAGAATAAAGGTCTGCTTTGATGTACAGTTGATTACATTAGTGAAGGTTCTGTCCCTCAGTGGTCAACACCAGTGACTGACTGCCATCTCTTCACACTGACAAGAACTACAAATCGAGTCCTTGATCCCAGTACTGTACTACTACAGTAATACTCACAGCTTGGTTTCTGTCTTGTAGCCGATAGTTGTGGTTCTGCAGCAGCCGACAGCCGTCTTTGGCCAGACGCTGTACTGCCTCCAGCCCCAGCCGACTGGTCAGCTCCTCGTGCGCTAATCCTCCTCCGCCACTGCCGCCGCCGGCCCTGAGCGCACAAACTCCTCCGAGCTGCAACATAGGAGGCATGAAGACATATCTCAAGCCACAGTCCCAGGACATGACCACGTGTTGAGTGTTTATGTTTGGAACAGGTCCCAGGACATGACCACGTGTTGAGTGTTTATATTTGGAACAGCGGTCAACAGCGGTCAACAACGATCAACAACGGTCAACAACGGTCAACAACGGTCAACAACGGCCAACAACGGCCAACAACGGTCAATGTTCACATCCAGAAAAAAACCAACGCGGACATAATCCAGATTCTTTTTAAAGGAGCAGACGTGACCTTTTGTGTTGTGTCCATTAAAAAGAAAGAAGATAATAATCCTGAGTTGAACTTTTCTATATATCTTTTCTCCCTGCCTCACTACTTTCCAATTCCTCCAAGTTGTACCTCTTGTCCCAGTGTGGTGGCTCTGTGTGTGGAGATCAGTGTGGAGTGTCTGTGATTATTAGTCCAAGTAGGCGGGAGTGTTTTTACACTGTGGGGGTGTGTCTGTGTCTCCACCCCTCCATGGACCGGACTCACAAATGTACAATTATGCTAACGGCCTCCTCGGGTCCTGTGGACAGTGTGTATCTATGGGAGCTGCTGGTGTGAAGGCTATCACCACTGGCTGCTTTGTTTATTTTCTCAGAAAATAGCTCAGAGTGGTGGCTGGTTTATTTAGCTGTGAGTTGAGTAACTCTTCCTGTCCCACGGTGCAATGCTCTAGCACAGGATAACACACACACACACGACATTATGGTATAGTACCATATTTGCTTCCAAAATCACAGTTCTTATCAGGTCACACAAAGACACCCAGTGTCCCATGTCCTTGGCTGCTTCCTGTTAATCTCCTTCCAGCTTCCTGTCCCAGTCTCAGAGCACAGAGATGATAACCTGTCTCTGTCGGTTGTCACTGTTCGTGCTGAGAGGTTGTTATATCACCACGGTGAACTCAAAGCAGTGATTCCACAGTCAGACACAATTACCAGCCGCCGTTATGGTGCAGCATCAAAACGTCTGTTTGCCCATAAATGAGTGTTTTCAATATGTCTGCAGCTCATAAAAAACATCACCACACAGATGTCATTACAACAACACTCATGTGGGTGAGGAACAGACGGGTGACACTGGGACAGTAAATGTTCAACTGCAGTTAAGAGTTAATAAATCTCCACCTAACCTCAAACCTCAACTTATAATACATTCATTTAAGAGTTCTCCAAGGTGGGGGGTCTTTTTTAATAAAATAAATTTAAAGTTCAGTGGATGTTTAAGCAAATGCTGTGTTCTGACATAATGTAGTCACGGCAGTTTAAAAAAGAAATCTAATTTACCTCAACTCCTTCATTACTCCAAGATTGAAATATTTCTAATTAAATTGAAGTATAAAGGGATTTATTTAATTTGAATGGATAAAAATTCTCATCACTGTTTGTGTTTATCATCTAAGATTATGTTCAACTATTATGTAATTACTACAGGGATCATTGTGGTTCATTTCCTGTCAGACTGACGTTGATGTGAGCAGTGAAAGTCCAATATAATATGAGCTGATATTTCATATTAGCTGATGGAGCTGGACTGGATTAACTCCAAGGTTTCCGCTGCACACGGACCACAAAGGGATATTTTCTGAACAATAAATCCCTCGTTCAAGACTGATGCTTGACAACGGCATAGATTTATCAAGAACCGAATCTGATCGTCCTTCTCTGGTCACTGATGACACTCAGATAATAAACAGCCTTTGAAGAAGAGCTGGAGACCATCTCCATGTATGAAGCACTTATCTACAGCTATCTCAGGAGTGTAATTGCATTTTAAGAATTCTTTTTTTTTCTCCCTCCTCTCTCTCAGTGTCAGCAGAGAATGAATAATTGATGATGAAAAAGAGGTTTTCTCTGTACAGCGATGGCACCGGCCTGTGTTCCTGGTTTTGACCCCATTTTCTGTGGCTACACACACTCACAGATGTGACCCCATTTTCTGTGGCTACACACACATACAGTGAAAGGTAATCAGAACGAGCTGATCAGGTTGAAGTCTGTCCCTTCGTCCACTGCTGAAATCAATGGCATTTGTCAGAACCCCATTTCTGTGTCTGTCTTTAAATGAACTTCAAATCTCTGCCAAACGCAGCACATTGTGCAAACAGCTGAACATTAACGACCAGATAACAAACAGATTCCACTACTCTCCCTCTGTGGTGTTAAACCAAAACAGTAATCTGTGTATGCAGTACTGTGGAATGTGAGTGTATTACCGGGCTGCTCTCCTCACTGGGCGTGCGAGGCTCCTGGTGGCTTGTGTCCGCTGTCTCAGAGTCCTGCTCTGACACTGAAACCAGCCACAACCAGAACCAGGTTAGACCTCTTCTTAGAGAACATACTATTTTGCAGCAACAACAACAAACTCATAAATGTGAACTTACGGGCTTTGCGGGTCTTCCGTGCGAGGGCGGCTGCCAGCTCACTTTGAACCTGAACCAGAGAAAGTCCACACGTTAGAGAAAAGACAATTCCACGAAAGAGATGTTTAGGCGCACGATCATTTTTTTGGACCGACCGTAGAGGTGAGCCTCTCCAGAGCTCTCATCTGTAGAATCTCGCTGCAGATGTCCCTGTTACCTTCAGAGTCCTCCTCTGACCTGAGGGACACCAACACACACACACACGGCTTCATTAAGAAAGATTTACACAAAATAATCATGAGCAAAATATCAACTACAAACACAGTCTGGAGAATAAGGTCTTCTACAGTGCTGCGGTCTCTACACTGCCCCCTGGTATGAATAAAGAACAATTCACCTCTTAGCTGTACATTTGTAAGAGACCTATTGTACAGAAAGTGTTGTTTGTTTTACAATACATTACTAGAGTAAAAATGTTTAAAGTATTTGAATAAATGAATATATAAATGAAGTGTTTAATTCATCTGTAAGGTCTTGTCTAACAGGTCTTTAATTGAAGCTAAAGCTAAAGCTAATGATGATTTCATGTTTGATCTTGAATATATTTTATTGTGTGTAAATACCTCAGTGATGCTGTGGGACTGAAGTGTTTGTCAACAGCAAATAAAAATGCAAAAAGGCCTGTGACCTTTCCGTCCCCACACCACGGCTTCGTGCTGGTCATTAAAGACAGGGAGACACACAGGCTCATATAGATTTAGTCATCCTCCAGCCTGGACACACACACACACATACACTCTCTCACACACACACACACACACACCTATTTGCATACAATGATAGCAGCGGAGCTCGTAAACGCCGTGGATGAAAGACGATCCATTCCTGCGTGTGACTGTATGTCTGTGTGTGTGCAGACTGTAATCTGATAAGGAAATGATAGAGGCAGGAGTGGAGGAGAGGTGGGGGGTGAGGGGGTGGGGGGGTAATGTGAAGCACTCCTAACACTTCATCAGCAGTGATACAGACAGATAAAAGCTGGCCCACTGACAGAAACCTCTGTGTCTGTGTATTTCTGTGGAGAGTATCCGTCTCCGTCCCCTTCCAAATCAGAAGACCGACTGTCAAAACTTACGGCAGCGCTGAAGGAACGTGGGCAACAAAATATATATATAAATATAAATGTCATCACAGCTTAATGGCGTTTTTGATCACGTTTTTTCGTGACAAACACAGGACCATTAGTGGGCTGTGAGACTATTATGAGCCGTTGTGCTAAATTATATTTTTCTATATAACATTAATTCGTTTTGAGGTTTTTTTTTTTACTTCCAGCCTGCGCTCATTTGGTTTTTGGGGGAGCTGAGAGCTGTGAGAGAGTCACCGTGGGTGGTGTCACCAATCATTAGGCAGCCACAGGGCGGTCTGAGAGTATTACCAGGATCAGTGGGGAAACCGCCTCCATGTTTAGACCACATCTACCGTCAGCGCCACATGGCCTTAGTCAAGACTGGCAGCTTAACCATTAATTACCAACGCCACCTCCTCCTCTAAGTGTGGCTCTTCATGAACGACACAGTAAGAAGCCAAACGCTGCCTCACAAAACCCAATTCTGCTCACACCTCTTACACCTGAGCTGCCGTTAATCCCTTTGACTTCTGTCCTTAGTCCAGAGATTTACAGAATGGATATTTGGTTCAATAGAGAATCAGTTGACCTTGGCTGGAGAGGTGAATGGAATGAATGGATGTCCTTTTATGGACCTGCATCTCTTTTAACCACTGGCTGCTGGGATTCGGAAAACTTTCCTCTAAAAGGCAATATATATGCACGATCTGACTTTAGCTTAATGAGATGCACGATGCAGGAAAGAGAGGCATTTGTGCCAATAAATATTAAAACAAAAACTTCCTGTTTTACATCATTGTGATGTACAAAAAACAGAGAAAAAACCTGCTCGAACAGATGAAAGGAACTAAATACGCAGGAGATCCAATGATGACCAACAGTGAATGAACAATCGACCAATCTGTGAGGAGGATGTCCCTCAGTGAGGACGTCATCCACTGTAATGGACATGTAAAGCAAGTGATGTTCTCACCAGGTATGTTCAGTACGGTACATGAGAATTACACAAGTCAGCATGACATCTACATGTCCCTCAGTGCCACCCCCCACCCCCCCCCTCCATTTTAAATGCACGGTGTAAAAATGACACACAGATGAATATGTCAGAGCGCTCACCCTCTCTACTCCTCCACGGGTACGCACCCCTCACCCCACCCCTCACCCCCCTCCCCCTCTCTCACTTCATCTCTGAGTGAC